AGTAGGTAGCCCAGGCTGGCCTTGAACTTAAGCCTCCTGAATGCTGGGATTATAGAAGTGTCCCACCATGTCCTGTTCTTTGTCTCTTCTAATAATACCATCCTATCTTCATTATGTAACTTTTTAATAGTTCTTAATATTTGGGAGAGCAAGCCCTTTCTCTTTGCTCTTCATAGTCATGATTATCTTGACTATTCTTTTTTTATGGTACTGTGTTTTGAACTCAGGACCTCACATTTGCTAGACAGGTGCTCTATCACTTAAGCCACACCTCCAACCATCTTGACTACTCCTGACCTTTTATATTTCCATGCAATTTTAAAATCAATTTCTAAATTTCCAAAAAAAAAGTATGCTTGATTTTGACTAGAGCTCATTGACTCTTTGGAGGAGCCTTGGAATTAACATTTGTCTGGACTGAGTCCTCTAGTCTACAATTTGTTTAATTTCCTTCAGTAATTTGTAAAGTTTTCTACACAGAGCTATGGTATAGGTTTCCTAGACAATTTTTTTTAATGCCAAAGTAAACACCTTTTACTTCCATTTCTGTGGTCAATGATTTTTTGTTGAACTTAACTTACATCCAATACCGTCACAGGTGTGAGATGTCACAGGGGAATCCACCAATTTGCTAAAGGGTTCTGGCTCTCAGAACACGCTCAGTAATAAGAGGCTGGAGCACCAGAGGTACAGGCAGGAAAGAAACTTCATTGATAGAGAAAGGCTGAGCAGAGAGATGCACAGTAGGATCTGAAAACTGGGTGCCCCTGAGCACCCAATGGGGATATATGGCCTCTGCCCTAACCTAAAGAACAGTTCTTAGTGGAATTCTGTAGGTCCATTCTTGGCATGTGTGGGTCTCCTGTACCTCCTGGTCCTCTGGCCGAGCTGGTTCCTCTGCCTCTCCAGGTTGCAGGGTCTTCCATATTCCTAAGATGTCATGGGGCTGATTTAAGTTATTGGGCTGCTACAATACTTTTTATAAAGTTTACTTATTATGTTAGCTTGCAAGGGTTGCCATAACAAATACCACAGACTGCGTGGATTAGAAAACAGAAATTTCAAGGTGTTGGTTCTGAGGTCTGTCTCCTTCCGTGCAGATGGCTTCACTCTTTGTGTCTTCACGTGGCCTTTCCTCTGCGTGTGCACACATCCTTCCTAGTCTCCTCTTCTGGTTAAGGACACCACCCATAAGGGTTATGTCTTTAAAGTCTCTATCTTCAAATCCAGCCATTTCTGAGGCATTAAAGGCTTCAATATGCAAATTTGAGGAAGACACAGTCAGCTCATAATACTTACCAAGTCTCATGATTTATCTGTTCTTTTTCTTTTTTGATGGTACTGGGATTTGAACTCAGGGCCTCACACTTGTTAGGCAGGCACTCTACCACTTGAGCCACTCCACCAGCCCTTTTTGACGTTGGATATTTTTGAGATAGGGTCTCTGGAACAATTTACTGGGGCTGGCTTCAAGCCTTGATCCTCCTGATTTCTGCCACCTGAGTAGCTAGGCTTACAGGGATGAGCCACTGGTGCCCGGCTATATGTTGTTCTTGTTATCTGTGTACAGAATCATGTCACTGATGAATAGTTATTTTTATTATATATAATATAATGTGTAATATAATATGTATTTTAAATCTTTTATTTATTTATTTTATATTAAGGTTGTAACTGGTACTTAGACACTGCTTCTGCTAAAAGACATTGACTCTTTACTTGGTCCCACACGTTAACTAAAAGCAAAATAAAAACTCAACATCCCTACCTCCATTTTCCATCTGTCCCCTTTGCTCTGAGTCTCTCTCCTATATTCCTTCCATATTGGGAATGACAGGACTATTTGATAACATCTTTATGGCAGGGACCAAAACCGCTCCCAAGGAACAACTGAGTTGCAGGACAGACTCTTTGCTCTTCAGATGAGGGTACCCTGGAGCAGGAGCAATCATCTCACGAAATCCAGATTGCTCCCCTCAAGTGATGGCAGTGATAACAGCCTCTCTGGAACCCCTCATACAACCTGAGAGGACAGAATGGCCTTCCTCAGTCCAGCATGCTCCAGATTTTTAGCTTGCAAATATGAGGTGTCAAGCCAGAAGCCCTTGCTACCTACTTCCATGTCACTGGGAGGTAACTGTCATGGAAGCAGAATGCCATGTTTATAAAATTTCAAGTTTTCCATTCTTCTGTAACTGTCATAAAAGGGGTCAGGCTGGTGAGACCAGGGATTTTTCTGGAAGAAAGATTTGCTGTGCATATGTGACTCATGTTCCATTAGGAGCTGTGAGGAAAGGTTTGATCGCTTCAGGGATGTCTGGGCATGCTTGTGTGCAGAATCCCTTTGGATGCTTGGCAAACACGTCCACACGGCCTGTGGACGGCATTTCAAGAGGCTAGGGGCCCGGCTGGAGCTGAATCGCATAGAAAAGTATTGAGCTCTTGGACACCAGCTAAGGTAGTAATAACAAGGCGGGTAGGAGTTGGGCTATTTCCAGCTGTGAGCAGACACTAGGAAGTGAGGACGACAGGCACAGGTTACCTGCTGCCCCCCTGGGAGCTCAGAAACTGGAAGGTCTTTGTGGATACACTAAGCTTAGAGAGGCAGCAATCTTTACACAGTGAAGGTAACACAGTAATAACAATTCCTTACATGCGTTGAGCATATTTTATATTTTTAAAGTACTCCTTTGATGTAAATCAGAGGCAACTATGGAGCCCTACGAAAACATCCACCCTGGGACCCTGCCCAGACTTTCAGAGTGAGGACCTCCTAAGGGCAGAATGGTCTGCTCAGGCCATGCTGGCAAGGAGCCAGTCCTGGGTATCAGGGCACCAGACAGTGTTAATTCCACACCCTTGCTGCTCACCCGTGGTCACAGGCCAGCAGCGCTAGCAGCATGTGACATTTTTTAGAGATATGGGCCCCTGAACCCCTCTCTGGCCCTCTGGGCCATCGTCTGCATTTTAGTAAGATCCTGGGTGGCAAATAAAATACAATCCAGTTAGATTTAAATTTCAGATTAATAACAAATAATTCTTTTGTAGACTTTGTAATTTATTTACTTTTTTTTTTTTTTTCAGTACTGGGGTTTGAACTCAGGGCCTACATCTGGAGCCATTCCACCAGCCCTTTTTTGTGAAGGGTTTTTTGAGATAGGATCTCAAGAACTATTTGCCTGGGTTGGCTTCGAACCACGATCCTCCTGATCTCTGCCTCCTGAGTAGCTAGGATCACAGGCGAGAGCCACTGGTGCTGGGCAGGCCTTTGTAACTTATTTTTTTGCAATTCTGGGGATTGAATTTAGGGCCTCACACATATTAGGCAAGTGCTTTACGACTAACCCACATCACATCCCCTGTCCACCTTCCAGTATTTTGAGACATATTTGTACTAAAAAGTTATTGCTTATCTGAAATTCAAATTTAACTGGCCATCTTTTTTCTTTTCTTTTCTTTTCTTTTGTGGGACTGGGGTTTGAATTCAGGGCCTCACACTTGCAAAGCAGGCACTATGCTGCTTGAGCCACACCGCCAGTCCATTTTGCTCTGCTTATTTTGGAGATGGGATCTTGCGAATTATCTGCTCAGGCTGGTCTCGAATCTCCATCCTCCCAATATCAGCCTGCCAAGCAGCTAGGATTACAGGCCTGTTGTATTTTTATTTGCTAAATTTCTCAACCCTATTTGGGTGCTCATTACAGTCTGATGGGCATGGGATTTATAATGGCCCATCCTTTCAGCACTAGTAAGCATAAAAGGTGTCCCATGGTACTGTAAGAGAATTTTGGTCCACTTGAATACTTTGAATATGCCACCTGGCATGTTTACTGTAATCCTAGAGCTTGGGAGGCTGAGGTAGGAGGATTGTGACTTCAAGGCCAGCCTGGGTTACATACCTAGACCCCCCACCTCAAAAAGTCCTGGCTCAGTGGAATACTTGCCTAGCAAATATGAAGCCTTGAGTTCAAACCCCAGTACGGGGAAAAAAAAAAAAAAGGATGAACTGAAACTGTTTTTTCAATTTACATTCTTTGATTCTGAATATCAGGAAAAAAACCAAAACAGAACAAAAAAGCAAACTAAATTCCAATTAACTAAATAAATGTCTTATTTATCAAAAGAAAAATAGGGCTTGAGTTATGGCTCAAGCGTCAAAGCACCTGCCTGGCAAGACTGAAGTCCTGAATTCACACTCTAGTACCAAAAAAAAAAGTTAAAAAAAAGCACATTTACTACTTCAGAAGAAGTATTTAACATAATCACAAAGGTCTGAGTTCCCCTAACACCTTGGTATACAATTAAAAACAATTTATTTTTAAATGTCAATAATCATAAATATTAACAAATAGAATACATTCTGTATAGAAGATGGACCTTTAAATATAAAACAACTTTGTAATTAATGGTGTATAACTGGCATAGAAGGTGTTTTTCAGTTTTAAGGCAAAGGTCTATGGGGCGCCCCTGCTGGTATGGGGCAGGTAGGGGTTAGTGGATGGGGGTGGGTTGGGGGAGGGCAAGCGAGGAGCTCCATCACTTATTTTTAATTTGTTGTCACGTGGTCACAATGTTGGCTATCAGCAAGACATATTTGCCCAATTAGCAAACTCTCTTTAGAGAACCTAAACTCATATGCGTTTTAGAAAATCAGAAAGCAAAAAAAAAAAAAAAACCCCAAACAAAAAAAAAACTACTATAAGGCTCAAATCAAGCCCTTCGCGTGTTGGTTCAGTGTCCTTGGTGCTTGCTTCCTAATCCTGCTTCTTGTTTGTTTCCTCAGTCTCTGGCCGACTTTGCTGCGGTGTGAACTGTCCCAGCCCTCTGCAGAACGACCTGCTTTTCGGACTCAACTCTGGCCGGCTGTGGCCTGTGCCAAGCCCTCTCCTACGAAATCTGTTTTGTCTCACGCCGGGCTGAGTCACATAGAATAGATAGACCGTTTATCAGCACATGTCCCCCAGATCATATTATCCGCTTACAAATATAGCCTGTTAGCACACAGGCACTGAGCACCGGGGCTCCGCGGTGCGGCTCTGCGGGTGTAAACAGACCGGACTGGGATCGCAGTGTCCGCGCCCACCCGGCGCGGCCAGGTGAGTGGCGGGTGGTCTCGGAGGCCACCGCGGAGGGTGGGGCCTGCGGCAGAGCGGGGTGGGGGGCGGGGAGGCTAGGGGGCGTCGCGCTGCCCGGGACCCCGCGCGCTGCAGCTGTTTTTGTCTCACTTGCAGAGCCAGCCGACTGTGCTTGGCCTTGATCTCTAGTCAGGTCCAGAAGCACGATTGAACCCGGAGCGCGGAGAGCACGTGGGGCGCGCAGGTGCGCGTAGCTGGGCTGCAGCTGGGGCCGTTCCCCACGAGTCCTGTTCCGTGGGTTACTGTCGTGGTGCCCAAGGCTGAACTGAAAACGATCTTCTCCAAAGTGCTGTTCGGGGACGATAAATCAACTTTGTTTGTGTCCTCTTTAGGGCCTTGCAAAATATGATTGACACCTGGTGGGGTCGGGGGCGGGATCGGGGGTGGGCAGCCTTTCAACCCAAATCTGTCTCATGCCCCCTGGCATGGGGTGGAGTAGGGGTGGGTGGGACGCGGCTGGGGTGGAAAAGTGATTTGAGGATCCAAAATCGTCCGGCTTTGTTAAGCAGCCGGGCTATCCTGGCTTCTGTGGTGGATGGTAATCAGGCGCTGGGACGTTCTCTTGTCATTGTCCCATGGAACCTGGGGAACCAAGCAGGGCGTGAAAAGCCTGTATGCTCAAGGACCTTTTGCCTTTTAATTTTACATTTAATTGATTACCAGAATTGATCTTATTTTTTTTTCTTTACACAATTTACTTTTTTTTTTTTCTTTTTGAGGCTTCCTAGTTGCGGAGTCCCGTCTTACGATGGTCACATGATGTTTGATCTCTCACCAGCCCTGTGTCCTCTTGAGAGGCCACGTCCTCAGGGATGCGGAGCCAAAAAGGCAGGATTCCAGCCCAGCTAGTCTGACTCAGACCCTGTCCTCTTAATCCTGTCTGTGCCCTGGCCCTCCTCTAGCTTGATTTTCTAGATTAAGAAATTATCATCAAAATAATCTAGTGTCCCTAGGGACACTGGTCATGAGGCATAACATGTAATTTAATTTAGAATTCGACTGAAAGACTGAGTATTCAGTCCCTTCTTACCCCACTGTTTCTATGAGAAAAACACTCTTTGTGTTCCAACTCTGGGGTCCAGGCCAGTGGCCTTATGTGGGGAGAGAATGAAATTTGTGAGTCACCAAATCCTACTGGGTGCCATATTATTGTCCCCACTGTGCCTTGGTGTCCCCAGCAATTCTCATTGATGCAGTCATTCTCTTGGACCCAGCCAGGCTGATGACAGGGGTCTTCCCACTAGAAGGATGCACCTGGAAGGGGGTTGGGGAAGGCCTGGAGTTGGGCCACCAGAGGGAAGGAAGAAGGGATGCTGGGAGGTCAGGAGGGGCAGATGGGGAGGAGGGAGCCAGGCCCCTCTCCCCATGACTGATTCAGGTGACACCTGGTGCCTGCTGTATCTCCCTCTCTTCCATCTCCTCCCCCTTCCCTTGATCTTGGGAAGATCAGCCTCATACAGGGAGTGCCAAAAAATGGTTTGGCACCTGGCTGGGGGACTTTGTGGAGCCTCTTTCAGATTCCCCCAGGTTCTGCCCATGATGCTCTGAAATATCAGCCTGGCAGCCACTCCACATCTCCCCCCCGCCGCCCTGCCCACTTCATCATCTAGGACTAGGTGACCAGAAAGTGCCCTTCCTGCCTGCTGGCATGTGACTTCTGAGTGGAGACCAGAGCTTTGGTGGCAGGGGATATACTTTTCCAGTCATGCCCTCTGGCTCAGGAGCGTGGATGGTTCTGTAAAGTGATTCTGATATAACTGAGTTGGGGAGAGGGATGGAAGGTTAATTAATCCAGCCTGCACTGATGGCCTATCCCCCTACCTCTGCATTGTCCCTCTGAGACTCCTGCCCCTCCCATCCTCTCACAGGGCAACCCTCCTCCTATGGTTCCCACAACAGTTGCTTCAGCCTCTGTTGTCTGGAATCTATCCCATTATGCAGATGCTCCCTCTTCTACACTGGGGACTTGGTGGCATAGGCAGGACCTCCCTGTCTGCCTGCTCTGTGCTGAGCAGAAGCCTGGCACTTGCAGCCGGTGCAGGGCTCAGAGCCTCCTCATCTGAACTGCAGCACATATCAGTGTGGAGACTGGCGAGGCCATGCAGAGGCCCCCAGTTCCTCCTGCCTGCTGCTGTGTGACCTGCTCAGTATTGAAAAGGGCTCAGCACTGAGCCTAAGTTTGGGTACTCCCAGGTGGCTCTTCTATGGCTTGGTCCGTGGACAGACCAAATATAATGAAACACAGTCATTTTAACTTGAATTAAGTGCTGTGATGTAAATAAATAAAGAGAAGAATAGCAGGAGGATGTATTTGAGATGCGGAGGGCTGGAAGCCCAGACAGAAGAGAGAACATTGATGCTGAGTTGGGGAGGGGGGAGGAACAGCCCAGGGTGGGGGGAGCAGTGGGAGCTGAGCAGGAGGGGGAAGACGCATGGGGTGGACAGATACCAAGGATGTCAGCAGAGGGCTGGGGGGAGGGGGACTGTCCATAGGCAGATCACACCAGGGTCTTCCTGGCCCTGGAGGAGCTAGGGTCTTACTGTCACCCCACAGGGAAGTCTGAGGAGGATGTGAGCCAACTAGTGGCATGGTTCTAGTTCCTGCTGGAAATTGTCTCACTGTCCAGTGGAAAATGGATTGGACATGGGTGAGGTGTTTGCACAACTGAAGAAGGGTGTGACAGTAGTTGTTGGTGAGACATGCATGCCCTCTAACGCCTAGGTGGTAACTGGATGTGTGAGTGTGAGAGCATGGTGCCCATGCCTGCAGCTGGTGGGCGGTGAAGAATCAGGAAGCATAAAGGAGTGACTTCTAGATAACGATGGAGTCCTTCCTGAGGAGGGGAGCTAAGGCAGCCTTAGGAGGAGATGGATGGATTCTAAAGGGATATATTTGTAGGCATTGGGTTGTTTGAGATATGTGTGAGACATCCAAATGGAGAGATCAAGGAAGCGGCTGGACGTAGACACCAGAAGTCACTCTGAGTTGAGGCTGTTTTTTTATAAGTTCATTTTTTTTTTTTTTTTTTTTTTGCTGAACTGGAGTTTGAACTCAGGGCCTACACCTTGAGTCACTCCACCAGCCCTTTTTTGTGATAGGTTTTTTTCCAGATAGGGTCTCACAGACTATTTGCTCGGGCTGGCTTTGAACCTCGGTCCTCCTGATCTCTGCTTCCTGAGCAGAGAAACACTGAGGCCTGGCATAAGTTCGTCTTATTTTATGGACCACTGTCTTATTTACTGCTGCATAACAAATTACCTCCAAACATGGTAACTCTGAAACACAAATATGGGCTGGAGGGGTGCTCAAGCAGTAGAGCACCTGCCTTGCAAGCACAAAGCCCTGAGTTCAAACCCCAGCACTGCAAAAAAAATAAAAAACCAAAAGGGCAAACATTTATTTCACAGCTTGAGGGGCAGAAATGTGAGGTGGCTTAGCTGACACAGGCCCCGTCAAGATGCTGGGGAAGGAGAGGCTGCAGTTTTTTGAAGGCTTAGTGGGTTGGAGGCCTGCTTCAGGGCAGCATGCCCATGTGGCTATTGGCAGGAGGCCTCAGTCCTGTCCTCAGGAGGCTTCTCTCCCACTGCTGTGCATTTTTGTGGCATGGTGGCTGACGTCCCCCAGAGTGAGTGACTGGAGAGGGACAATGAGATCCTGGTCTCAGAAGTCACACACCATCAGTTTCACCACATTGCAGGTGAGTCCAGCCTGTGCTCAAGGGGGGAGAAATTATGCTGTACCTTTTGAAGGTAGAGTGGGATGCAGTGGTTCACGGTGGGTTGCAATCTCAGTTACTAGAGAGGCAGAGAAGCGAGGATTGCCATTTGAGAACCAGCCTAGGCAAAAAAAAAAGTTAGAGAGATGCCCTTCTCAGCAACAAGCTGGGCATGGTGGGGAGTATCTGTAATTCCAACTATGAGGGAAGCATTAGGAGGATCATGGTCTGAGGCTGGCCCAGGGCAAAAAAATCTGAGACCCTATCTGAAAAATAACTAAAGCAAAAAGAGCTGGGGGCATGGCTCAAGTGGTAGAGGACCTGACTAGTAAGTGCAAGGCTCTGAGTTCAAACCCCAGTGTTGCCAAACATTTTTTGTGTGTGTGTGGTGGGGGGAGTACAGTTTAAAGCCATCACACCCAGCAAAGCAAAACTTTTATATTCTGTGGTCCACTAAAGCTCGGAGATTTATAGTTTCCATAGTCCATAGGCCTGGCTCCTGTATTTGTATGGCACGTGGGCACTGCTGCAGCAGGCTGGAGCCCCAGCTGGAGTATCCCGGATGTCTCTGTCCTCCCACTCTCAGGGCCTGCCTACTTGCAGCCACGGCCCACTCAGGTTGCCATCTGCATGTTGGAGACTCTGTTGTTGGTGACTGCCAGGCAACAGGCCATGGAATTTCAGCTCAGGAGTCAGCACTTAACAGGTGACCTTGCCTCCAGCCAGTTGTCCAACTTGAGATGACTGGAGGACAGAAGAACACATGGTCATCTACCTGGGGATCACTAGAATAGAGTCACCCCCTGGGGGACTGACTGCAGCAGGGGCCCCTCAACCCCCACCCCACCTGTCTGCTCACCAGACAGCCAGGCCTTCCCTCTTGGGTCCATGGCTTTGTCCTGACAATATCTGAACCTGAAACCTGTTCACCACTCAGATGGCCCAGCCAAGGCAAGCAGGGAGGGACAAGTGAGGACTTTTCGTTTCTGTGTACATACCTACAGAATATCTTTGATTTAGCCTATCATCTCACCCTTTACTGGAAAAGTCTGCTGACTGAATCAGAAGTTCTTTCTGGGAGGCATATTCCTTTGCACTGTGGGTCGGAGCTCGGCCAGTCTGCTAATGTGCCTATTTTTACTTGGAGCTGAGATGCTGTGATCACCTGGTGTCCCCGTGCTGGAGAGGAACATGCCTGATCATGTGCCCTGCTGTCCCTTCCTTTGCAGCAAACATTGCCATTGT